AACCTGCCCTGGTTTACACTAAATGTGACAAAGCTTCTGAAGGATCAATGCAAACGGTAGGTGAGCTTTGTGTGTAATAAAATCTTGTAGAGTAATTCAAGTTCTTTATGAAATAAAACTGAGAAACAAAAATGCAGTTTCATGGACAATTAAATTTAACATAGAACAAATTCCCCTAAAATGAGAAAAAAACCAAACAAACCCAAAAACTCAGCCAAAAGGACCTGTAGATAGTATCTCTGACCATGCATGGCTTGTTTTTTAAATTACAATTCACAGAATAACACTGCTGGAAAGCCTATTTTACACTATGCTACACAGAACACGAAAAAACATGAGTAGTGACATTTACACAATTTTACAGTATTTCTCCTTCATCTAAGAAACACGTCCTTTTCTACTTTACATTTTTTTACAATTCCCAGCTCACAAAAAAAGGACACTATACGCGCAACGACAGTCTTTAAAAAGGAGAAATGCAGCCAATGCTACAAATAAACCTTTTCTTTCACAGAAGCCTCTGTATTAGATAGTGATTAAACAAAATATATCTCTATATCTGCCACTCAATGTGAAATGGACTAATTAGAAATAATTTTTTTTTTTTTGTGTGTGTGTGTGTAAACATAAAACTATACAACATCTCGGAAACTCCTTGCAGTACTTGCTATGTAACTATTAAACTGCTTGCCAAAAACCTCTTGGGATTGCATCTGAAATGCTAATTGAGCCAGTTGCTGCTCCAGTCAAAAAAAGGAAGGTGGGCCTTACATGTTGTTCAAGTGTTTGCAAATCATTTTCAACAGTTGCCTATAACCAAACATTTTCTCTTTCAAAAAATGCTTCAGTTTATTTTCTTTCAGAGCCTGGCAGTAAGTACCTGGCAGTTTTCCCTGCGGAGAAACATCAACAGCCATGGTCCTTACAGCTTAGGCGAGCGTTTCTTGCATCCCGACGCTAAAAACGCAGAGCCATCATCCGAACACGGCACAGGGTCAGGCTCCCTGCCTATGCACGCGTGCACAACCCGCCTCGACCACAACGGGAGGAGCGGGACGTGTAGTGGGCGTACAGGAGCGAAAAAGAGAGAGGAAGGTATATGCTCGTGCTTCTGTCTGACACCACGTCCCTGTACGTCCTTTAGATCAAGGCAGGCAGCCTGGGTGCCCGCCTGCGTAGAGCGGATGCCTGACAAAAGGAATCATTTACTGCACCTGCAGTGGCATCACGCCTCTTAGGTTTGCGGTAGATGCTGCAGTCCTCACTTGTGACTTCTCAATGGCTTTTAGCGTTCGCCAGGGAAGGTTTAGAGCCCAGCACATGGAGGGTTTAAGGTGCTGTCCTGCCACGTTATCTAGTACCTTGAAGTGGAATGAAGCATCTTGCAGGAGGCTCTTGCTGTTCAGTCACATCAAGACTAACTCCAAATTTCTGTTAAATCAGGGCAAGAACTGTTATCTAGATATTCACATGTGACTTTCTATTAAGCTAAAGCCAAAATCTTGTCTACCTACAAATCGGATGCCTTATTTTGCTGACAGAGTCAATCACTAAAGAGATTTACAATAAAAAGGGGTCAAAAGAGAAAAAGAAATGTATTTTGAAAACTGCTTTTGATGCTGTTTCTAGTATTTATCGGAGCAAGAGAGACCCTCATTAAAACACCATTGTTTTGTTGATGTTGGATTATGGACAGGGATCTATCAAACAGAAGGGTCACACGTAGCAGCCAAGGGGCTATAAAACATCTGGAATCCATGAGCCTGGTGCCTGGCCTTACTGAAAGGTGAAGAGTGATGAATTTAATTTTTGTGAGGAATCTTTCACTCTCGATTGTGGCACGCAGCATTCCCTGGGGGTGTTTCTTCACCGCAGCCACATAACTGCTACTGAAAGTTATCCCTCAGTTGGGAGCGAGGGAATACCAAGTACTTGTATGGAGTCTGCTTTTAAACACCAAGGGAGATGAAAGGAAATTAGGATAGCTTCCCTTTGGTGGCCATTTCATATGCTAAAGTTTACCTCAGCATCCAAATCAGGAAGGCATTATGGTGGTAGACAGACAAGTTATTGGCAGCAGATGGGTGCTGAAGTGAACACCAGCAGCGACTCTGAGAGCTTGGTGGAGATACAAAACTCTGGGCACTACATTTGCAGCTGACTGGTACCATGAGAAAGAGAAGAGACATAGTTATTATGGCTGCGAGTGTTTAGAAACAGCCTTCATGGATCTCTAAGTGAGAAATGGGAACATGTGTTCCTACATTGTGTTTCCCAGACCTTTACATTTGTCGCAAAAACATTTCATATCTCATACACGTTTTAAAACAACTGTTACATCCTTATGGTGAGCTCTTTTGATGATGGAGGGGCAGGCAGCAACTCAAATCCTGAAGGTTACAACCTGATTAGACAAAGGCATGCAAATATAACCAATTCCTCCATTTCATCTGGAATCCACTTGGTAGATGAAGGGGAACAAATGTTATTCCCACATTCAGGACATGCTAGCAGACTCTGGAGGAAACACTGCCACCTCACAGATTAGCACGTTGGGCCGCTGGCCATTTTTATCGTGAACCAGAATGGAAATCTTTTCTGTAGTTATTGCATTGTTACCATGCTTGATCATCTTGTTGCAGTAAACACTGAGGACAGTGGAATTAATCTGACTGTACACTACTGCATAAACAAGACCAAGTTATCCTTCAGAAAAATTGGTATCCGTTTTACAGACAGAGAACAGGAATTTAGGCAAAAATACAGAAAAACAAGCATAATGGAAAAACAGGCAAAGAAGAAAATGCTTCACATGAAAGACACTTGCATCCAGAGAATCTGAGAGAAACCACCTTTTTTTCCTGAACTTGTTCTAACCCCACTCCCCGTATTTATTTTTCTCCTTGATAAGGAGCATATGAAGTTTTGTACAATTTTTGCACAATTCTTGGAAAATACATATGCCCAACTATTAGTAATTCATCAGCTATGTTATGTTTCACACACAGATGCTGTACTATGTCTAAATGAAACACAAATTTGTTTCCTGTTACCAAGTGGTCACCAACAGCCACTTACTTTGCACATTCAGCATATTTTAATTACATTATTCAGTTTTAAAAACTTGTTTGATTTTCTCCCTCCAATCAAATATAGGACCACTGTCAGTATAAATGCATTTTGTTCCATTTTTCATTCTTTTATCACTTTGCAACTATCACAGTTCATATCACATAACTGCTACATTCAGGATGTCTTCCTCTTGTTTCAGACCTCAAAGACCTCCACAAACCCCCAATACCTTCATTTCTTTGTTCTAAGCATCCTTAACAGAGATTAAAAAAGTCCATAATGGTGAGCAGCACATAAAGATTCACTTTAAAATCCAGATGCTTGTAGGTCTTGCTTATTTTACAGTGAAATTAATTATATGCCACTTCTTTGCTTCCTAACCAGCTTCCTCCTTTTCATAGCTTTCAAATACACAATGCATTTTATTAATAACACAACTACTGCCTTCTGCCTACTTGTACAATTGACTTTTAAACAAGCTGAGGGGAAAACCAGATCAAACTTGATGCTATCCTTAAGAACCGTTGCTCATTAGTGACTTTTTACCCACGGATTTTGACACGTGAAGATCCAAGGCAACGGCAAAAAAAGAATGAAATGTTACGCTCAAGAGAGGGATAGCATCGATAGGATGCTCCACCAGAGATCTCATTGCAGTGTTGTCAGCTACCTGGTTCTCTCATCACTTGGATACTGTGTTCATTGTGATGTGATGGATGACCAAGGTTTCAAAGGTTTATTGTGTTTGGTTCAACTATCTTGAACAATCTTCAGTCATTATCCTGTCCTTAATGAGAGCAGAGCAGAATAACTTGCTGACGTACCTGACCTAGCTTGGGTGCCAAAAGCAATATAGCTATGGCATTAGCAGCCCAGCATAGACTATTAATTAACCTTACTTTCAAGTGTGTTTTACAGCCAAGATGGAACGCTGTTACCATGACTAAATTGCTGCAGTTCCCCAGTTAACTAGCTTGAAGGAAGCCTCAGCTGTTACTGCTGTGCAGACACACCCTTAATCTTAGAGGCTAAGGCAATGGAAAGAGATAATCTTGTGCATCCTTGAGGATCAACTGGTCATATACAGACTTTGGCTTAAAAAGTTCCCTTTTACGTTACTGTTATTTGCAGTTCTCTTCAAAATTCTTCAGCACTGGCTAGGGTGACTGCGTTCAATTCCTCTTCTCTGCTGTATATGTCCTCCACTTAAAGGCAGATGAGCTGACTAAAGATTCTTTAAACACACATGCTGAGGGCAGTTATAAAAGTCAGTTATAAAACAGTGAGATAAGGGCAAACATATTGGAGTGTTCACCATGGTACCCTCTCCACTTGCATCAAGGGTAATCATAATAAAAGAGTAAAGAACAGCAAAAACACAGCAGGCTTTTCGCAGGGCCATTTCATATTCAGATCCATCAATTTGAAATAAAATCACCACCACATTATCTTGCAGCAGAGAAAAGCAGCATGAAGGGCCCAGGCAAGTGAACAAAACTTCTTGATCTTAGCATCTGAATGCATTTATCGAGTATGTAAAATTGTTGGCATAGATCTCTTTGAAACTGTACAAGTGCACAGTACAGCCATAGCTCAACAAGAGGGAGGTATTCTGTGTCCTCTCCTCTGTGTGCATGCTGCTATGTACAGTATGAGTGTGTATTAATACACATGAATTCAGGATCCTAAACTTTCCACTTGTATTGCAGGCCATCTCCTGCCCCACGGGGTGAATCCCATTGAGTAACATTGAGTTCCTACAAAAAGACATTCTATTCCTCCTGTCCAGGTGGAACAGTAAGGCCCCAGGGTGAAAATCATGGTCCA